CCCTCCCCTTTGCTTTTTAATCAGACCTTTCCCTGAATGTGTGTTGTGCTCAACTCCGGCAGCTTTAATTTTTTATCTCCTTTATTGTTTTCCTTTCAGTCCTGATTGGGCGATTGCCCCTGGTCACTGAACTGGTGTTATGGAGCTCATCTGCTTACTGAGGAGCCAATCTGTGCCTCAAATCAATGGGCTTGCACCTACGATGAATTAGGCCCTGACCCTACACGCAGGGAGTCTTGAGCTCATCCTGCCTTTCAGCTGCTGACACCTGATTAAAGGCTGTTTGCAGCCTGGCTCCTCTGGCTTTGGGTTGACTGCTCTTTAGCATGCTCTGGCATGCTTTAATGCCATTATCACTGTGCATAAGAAAGCCCATCTCCTGCTGTCTGTAGACAGTTCTGGTATCTATCACCCCCTCCCACAAACTAGGGGTATCACTCCCATCCTTTAAGAAACGTTTGGATGCTTATTTTGCTGGGATCCTTCACAGTCCCTTCTAGCCCTAACATCTATGAAATCTATGAAACTATGCAACTTCTCAGGTGACCAGGTAAAGCTTAGGCAACTCAGTCAGCCGTCCCTGAAGCAGGATCCTGGGGGTAGATTCTAAAGTATCTTTTTCTGAGATGCAGTCACAACCAAGTGGCTAATAGAAGAGGCAGTTAGAGCACTGCGCCCAGAGGGGAGATTACCAAAATCAGCAGGAGCCATGAACTGCCACAAAAAGGTGTCAGATAATAACACACAAACTATTTCTGCCTGGGTAACAGCCTTAGCTTTGGACTGTGAGTATGGGGAGCATCCAGGAAGTCCTCGTGGCCCCCCCGCCTCTCTCCCTGTGTGGGACTGCGTGATGGTGGGTATCTGTGCGTGCCTGGGTCCGCGCCTGTGCTCCTACAGGAGCGGGTGAGCCTGGCAGCAAGGACACAAGTGTCTGGAGGAAGAAAGCCTACTCACCCACACACAGTGTGCAGCCCCTGCCCCTCGTCCCGGTCCCCGTCCCCGTCGCTGTAGGCAGCCATGCGTTCGCCCAGCTTTAAGATGCAGTCCGAGAAGCCTTGGTAGATGTTTTCACACGTCCTTTCCGAAGCCAGTGGCCGGGCCAGGTACCCTGGAAACCAACCGGGGGTTCGCGTTACCACACGGGTCGCGCCCTCCGCGGGGGCCGGGCGCCGGGCTGCCCCTCGTCCCGGTCCCCGTCCCCGTCGCTGTAGGCAGCCATGCGTTCGCCCAGCTTTAAGATGCAGTCCGAGAAGCCTTGGTAGATGTTTTCACACGTCCTTTCCGAAGCCAGTGGCCGGGCCAGGTACCCTGGAAACCAACCGGGGGTTCGCGTTACCACACGGGTCGCGCCCTCCGCGGGGGCCGGGCGCCGGGCCCCAGCAGGGCAGCGAGGGGAGCGCGGGGGATCCCGATCCGGCCCGGTCCCTGCGCCCCTGGGGTCCCGCCGTCGGGGCGGCCGGTTCCTTACCCAGAGCCAGGAGCAGCATCGCCGCGCCC